TACAGTTTGTTCTTCGTATTTAGACAGTACAACATTGCGCCATCGTTTATTGAATTGTTCCGTAGGATTTTGTCTGAATGAATATTGCTCGATTGATACGAGCTGTAATCGCCCTGTGATTTTGAAAATATTCTCTTGAATTTTGGGGGTACTTTGTGTAAAGATTATGGAGCATTTTCAAAATTTTCTCATAAATGGCCCCAATTTAAAAAAATGCTTGCAAGAATAGAGAGAAGGACGCCTGTAAATATCGCCTAGGTCAAATTTTCACTGTTAACTATATATTTTAGAAAATTGCAAAGTTTGAAATTGTGTGATCCCTCATTCAACATTATTAAATGTAGAGATTTTTTCTTGAAATTATATTTCTTCTCCACAATAAGTTATTTAATCAACGTCAAGTATTTTTTAAAAAAAGAAGTTTCAGCACATTTTTCAGTAAAATTATGGCAATTTTAAAAAGAGTTTCTCAAAAACGGCTTCACATTTTTCCCATTAAACTTCTTGTAAGGATAGTGTTAATTACCCTGAATAACCTAACATCAACGACAAATTAGTATGCTCTTTGGTTTCTCATGAACAAATTTTTTTGAAATATCTTACATCGTAAATACTTACATTGTAGCGTTTTTATACATTTTTGCGTTTGTAAACATAAGTACTTCAAATAATATCTTAAGAAGTTTTTCAATAGTTCAAACGTTTTCTGTGAAAATGAACTCAAAATAGCTAATTTTCAGAAATTCTCAAAAGACTTTTATTCAAAATCGACGTATAAAGAATCAGGTTATTCTCTTCTCTAATATTCTTGTCACGATTCAATTCTTCATTTAAGGGTCCGAAATATTGAGAAATCGTGGACAAGTGATTTTATGCGGCGATCGATGTTTACTGAGAAGAGTGTGGGGCAGGACCGAAAAGCTATAGCTCAGACTTGAGATAAGGAAACTAACTAGCACTAGGAAGTCTTTGCCAATCTATAACATCACTAGCTAGATTTCATAACAATAATGCTTTTATGTACTGACATATTTTACTGTATTAAGGCGCTGTGTACGTTAAGTATTTTGTATCTCGCGTATTTGTTATCTCGCGAGGGTTATCTTGTTTTCAAGCATGATCAAATATAGACTTCGTATGTTGACCTGTCACCTCGTGAATGTCCATTGTTCTCCCAGACCTATTATGCTTTCTTCGACGCCTTGGCACAAGCAAATACTGATAAGTGACTCCATTTCCATCCATTACTGATAAGATAACTAAAAATAATTAACTTACATAACATTTGGTTTTTGGAAATTACGTAACATGAGTACTCTGTGTTCACATTACGCTACCATAACTAAAAGTTTTCTCTGCTGTAGCTACTTGTTTTAATGGCTATCAAACAATGTGTGTTGTTGCGCACTACAAATATACAACTCAATTAAAACTGGCCAATGAAGAATGTTCTGTCAATAATAATTGTAATATTTTTGTAATTTAATGGAAAATGTCAGCTTGTTTACTTTTTCACAATAGCTTCCGAGACAGGAAGTGAAATACCTGCTACTTCCTAGGGCATAGAATATGTTTTGTGTCAAGTGACCTTCTTCTTTTACTGATAAATACAGCACGATGGAATTTTTTAAGTGTTAATATTTCTTGGTTGTATGAATAATTTAAACCTGAATTACCACAGGCCATTACATATTGAACAGTAAGTTAATAGTAACTTTGTGTTAGTAGTAATATATAATTATACCTGAATATTATACTTAATTTAGTATATTATATAGATCATCTACAGAAAACATAAATTGTTATATTTTAATATATAATTTATTATATCAATTCCATATGATTTTCCTAAATGAATAAATAGCGACTTGAATAATGAAATTGATATTTCGTTATTACCGGCAAGAGATACATTGGGTTATTGCAATATGACAGAAAATGTGTTAATTAACTTCATGGAAATGAGTGTTTTGGGATTCTCAATTGTCCGAATCAGGTTTTTTAAGAAGGGTTTACGACAAAATTGAAGTGACGTCTGAGAAAAGTTCAAGTTACAAAACACAAATGAATGATACATTTTACGTGTATGAACTAAAAATAGTGATGCTATAACACCACATACTTTCTCGCATTATTGCTAAATTTCGCAATTTTTGAAAATTGAGATAATTAAACTAATTTTTTACAACTTTTCTTTATGCGTCCTTTGTGTTTTGCCCAAAGAAATACAAAAGAAGTAAACATTTAACAATGTTTACTGTGCACTTAATACAATTTCTGAGTTCCAACTCGTACCGATAACAATGCGTTTCACAATACAGTAAAACTTGCTCAACACGGAACGTGTATATGTGAGAATCGCGAAATGAATAAATGTGAACATAAATCGCGGCCCCGACAATAAAAAATTCGACAGTATTATACTTAGGTTATATATATATATTATTATATATATATTATAATATATATAATATATATATATATACTATATACTTTATACCTATATACATATATACATATATACCATATACATATATACATATATACATATATACATATATACATATATACATATATACATATATACATATATACTATATACATATATACATATATACATTATATACATATATACATATATACATATATACATATATACATATATACATATATACATATATATTCCTCCAAAAATTTAAATTTCATTTCAAATTGGCAGGGCCGATTTCGTCGAGATCGATCAAGAAATGTTCATTTCATTTTGGTGAATACAATTTAGACGCTAGTGACACAAAAGGTTTGCCAAAAACTTTTTTTAGCATCAAGGACCAAAGACACTAGGTATGCAAGAAAATAAATTACTACCTATAGCAGCAATATAAAACCTTTTTTCAGTATCACGGACGAGACTTTATGTCGAAAAATAGGCACTTTCTGTATTAGAATCTACCGCAGTATCATACTTTCTCTACTAGTTTAGCATGACGTGGATATTTTTTAAATAACTGCATTCGAAAACAGTTCAAAACTATTTTACTCACAATATGTTACACTCAGATGGTAAACACAAAAATACAATTCGTATTTGCTAGTCTAACTCTGAGAATCAAGTCCAATAAAACGAAGAGGAGAACCAAAGTCCGGGAGAGAAGACCAATTACACAAGCGATGCGCGAATACAATTAGTGTGAAGAGAAATGAACGCTGCATCAGCGGCGAGCCTCTCTCCACCCGCGCCTTGCATTTCCTCTTCGCTTGGGAAGACCTTGTCCCTCCTCCTACTTCTTCCTCTCTTGTCTTCTGCTATCAGCCCCTCTTCTTAGTATTATTAAAATACTTGTCTAAATATTTGTGTGGTTATAAAATTAGGTTTAGTAATCGCAAAGACGATTAATCAAATCGTGACGATTCATGTAAATGTCGAAAAGAGAGTATAGAAATTCACAGCGTATTACACTCCCAGGTGAATAAAAAACACGTGTTTTCTAGATTTTTTTCCAAAACATCAGGGGAGGGGGAGGAAACATCTTGTCGAGAGCAATCAATTGAGCTAATGATTCCTTCCGGAGATGCTGTAAATCATCCGACGTGAGCTTTAGTTGCTTAAAGATATGTTTTCATAGAAATTTCTTTGGATGTTCTGCATAGATTCGCAAATAATATTATCAGTTCCCCGCCAGAAGACGTATTCCCGTCGAATGATACCTCGATTGGTGGACCGGGAGGGGTCCAAACGTGAGTGATGAACGGAGGGACACATGCAGGTTCGTTAAATACTATTAAGGGTTACTACGTAATACTACAAAGAAAATATAAAGAGAAGTTTGGCTCCTTGTGGCAATGTATGGGATAAAGAAGCTCCTATAGTTTTGCACGATAGTAAAGTCCTTAGAGCTCCTTCTCGGGAAATTGAGAGTCCGTTTGAAATCTTGGAGGTAGGGTCAAAATAGGTCCCCAACCCTGCATCAAGGGAGTTCCCCACTTAATCGTAGTTTTGTATGTGTGTGTGTTTCGGGGGGGGGGGGCTATTTTTGGCAACACGCAGTGCGTGGAGGTTGGGCGGATTGTAGCACAGAGGTCAGGAGGTACTGGGGTAGGCAGGCAGGGACGCGCCCGTGAGATAAGAGTGAAGGGGGTGGGGGGCGACGCAGGTAGAGCGGAGCGTGGCGGTCATACGGGGTGGACAGAGGAATTGTTGACGGAGAGTTAAAATTTCTGCGATTGGATACAATAGATACAATTAATTCCATTTTTCTCACACTTCTTAAGGAGAGAGTTATGTAATCGTGCGCTGTAAAACTAAAATTTGTGTGGTAGAAAATCTCTTATTACCGGGTCCTGGTAACTGGTATTTTGGTTCTCGAGAGTAATTTACATAAAGCTTCAAAAACATTTGCAAAATTTTCCCCAAAATGGCATATCATTTTCGTTCTCAGATAATGTGAATAACCCTTTAGAGAATGATACAGGTTTCATGTTCGTTGAAATCACTGAATTTTCGAAAATTGCAAAGAACAATTTTTTGGATCGATTTTTCGAAAAGTGAGTAGTTTTCCGCGAAATATAGGCAATTAATATTTTTAAATACTTTTTTCTAAAAAAGGCTCAACATTTTTCTACCTTTTTTCGCGACTAGAAAAGACGCTTTAAAGATTAGTGTGGTTCTCATTTTCGTTGACGTTTCCGAATTTTCGTAAAAATGTAAATTTAGAATCAATACAAGAAAGTATATGCTATTGTACCAGCAGTAGTTTCCATGCATTTCAATAAATGATTATCTGGGTAATATAAGGTTTCTTTAGCTGTTCTTTTGTTGCATTTTTTATATTTGATTAACTTCTTTCAAAACGCCCGTCTTTCGGGGTTTTTATTCAAAACATTTTTGAAGGATGTTCGCTCGAGAATAATAAATGACTCTTTCTTTATACAGCACTTATGCTATGACATGTATTCTAACTTTTGTCGCTATTAATAATTTTATTGTTACAGTCCTGCTTGAAATGGCTCCCAAATACAAGTTAACCTACTTTCCTATTAAGGGTTTGGCAGAACCTATTCGATTTTTGTTTTCTTACGGGGGAATTGAATTCGAAGATTTTCGATTGTCTCAAGAGGATTGGCCAAAATTTAAGCCGAGTGAGATATATCTTCTTTTGTATTTTTAAAAATATTTTATGAGTTATATTTAATATTTAATATGTTGTTCTTATATATTTTAGATACTCCATTCGGACAGACTCCAATATTGGAAGTTGATGGTAAAGTAATACATCAATCAACAACGATTTGTCGCTACGTGGCTAGACAAGTGGGTCTGGCTGGAGCTGATGACTGGGAAGCAGTTCAGATTGATGCTGTTGTCGATACAATCACCGATTTTCGTTCAAGTACGCATATTGTTCCAGATGATATTAGAGGTTCATGTTTTAGAATTTAGTACCCAAGATATTATACCAAAGCCATCAACCAGTAGTACAAGGAAAAAAATACTGAAACAAATTTCTGGAGCAGTTTTTCACTTACAGAGGAAGTTTGGGTAAAATGGAATACCGTTTTTATTTGTTAGCATTTCTTTATAGTGAAACTGTTTGGAGCACGGAATATGAAATGAACCCAAATCTCAACTATTTTCAATGAAATATTTGTTTTGAAAGTTTAAAAACAAACTTATTTAGTATCAAATATTTTATTTTGTTTTTAACGTTGCATTTGGAGGGTAATATGAAATAGCTGAGGGGTCTCAAAATGACAAAAATGAAATAAGATTGATAAAAACGAAGTAATGATAACTTAATATTATAAAACAAAATGTCATTGGTTTTGATAATTTACTTGCAAAAATCACACACGTTATCTTCCTGCTCTGCTTCAGGACAGTTAAGGTGGGCCCACAGGGAACAGGAAATATATTTCACCCAAACCTCTCCCCGACTATCTCCAAAAAAGGTTCCATTACACAAGATACACTTTGCATCATCGTTGTCTGATATAGAAAATGGTATGTACTGCAACTCCGACGATACACTGAAATGGAAAGACCTAGTATTCCATATAACCCGACATGCCATTTTGAAATCAATAACATTTAACATAAACGCGAAGAACGACGAGCTTCAAAATGAGCATAAAGTAATAATTGACAACTCTTGTGGTGTATATAGCGGTTAATATCTAATTATTAGACAGAAAACAAAATAGTAATATTATTGGCGTTTCAAAATATACCTACGTAAGCTTTTGGAAATGGAAAAACGAATCTTCTTCAGTAGCAGGCGTGATGCACGTAGCAAGCGTGTGACTCTTGACTCTAAAGTATCGTACGTGCATTCTGAAGTACACACTTGGCAGCAGCTCTTGACAGAGGAATAAGCTCGGTATTTCATATAATTCGACTGTGTCATAATATCCGAACTTCCTCTACAGACCCCCCTCCCCACAGAAAAATCTTGGTTTAATAAGGTATGGTACAGAAGTCCTTGTATAATAAAGCATTTATTTGCAGTTATTTTTAAATTGTCCCAAAAATACAAATATGGCATTTTTTGCTCGTTAATAGGCCGACTTAGACCACGCGTTCATGCACCCTGCATTTACCGGGGCTCAGAAACAGTATCTCGGAGGCAGCTGCATGTAATTTTAAAATGGGATCAGCATTTAATTAGATCTGATTTTATCCCCCAGGGTTGTTAGCCCTGAGGTATGAAGGATGAAATGATGATAGTGAGGAGTTAAAGGATAACACACACATACAGACGTTCACAAACACACCCATGCCCGAGGCGGGGCTCTAACCGCGATGGCCTGCCCTCTGAGGCCTCTACAGCACTACAGCCTTAACGATCTCGACCATCTGATCGGCTATTATTATTATTATTATTATTATTATTATTATTATTATTATTATTATTATTACTGTTGTCTCCTATATTATTTTAGTAGTATACATATCTTTTGCGGCTCTCACACGCAACAGATCTTTATAAATGAGGTCTCTAAACAAAGAGAATTTCATGGTGATGGGACCAATTGCACTTTGACTTTAAAAAATGTAGGATTTGTTTATAAAAACGCATCTAAAGATTCATTCTAAATGCAACCCGCAGTACTCAGTCAGCTATATCGTTAAATAACGCCTAAAGCGTTCTAGGCCCTTAAAAAAAATTTTTTTGAGGCCAAACGCCTCGAAGAAACGTTTTTTACTCCATAATATACAGAATGAGATATTCTGGGACATTCTATTACATTTTTGCAGGCTTTGAACTTATCGAAACTACCAATGCCACCTAGATTTCAATCCTTGGTGATGGCGACAATCTTTGTGACGTCAAGCTTAGGAAGCTTAGATTCCTCTATCTTATACTATTTACGCTTTCTGTGTACACCGCAGTTTGTGTTTGAGTTTGACAAGGATCATTTGCATAATTATTAATTCGATATTTGCTCTCGCAGCAACAACTGTAAGTATTATTAATAGTTGCCTGATACTGATGAAGATTATTTCTTATGCGTGTAGTGAAAACATTAATTTAACGTTTTGCTGTGGTCTACAAGAGCTGTGTACCTAATTGTGGAGGTATGTGGGTATACAGTACAATTTCTCGGTAATACTGAACACATCTTTAGTGACAATTTCTTTTCAACATTAATTGCATTGTCTTTTATTTTTATTTGATAGTGTTAGTACAATGGAAGTTACCTTTATACACTTTTAAATAAAAAAAAAACACGTTTCGTTAACAACTTGCCCTCTTAGAATGAAAATAGAAGAATAGAGAAGAGTGTGGAGGTTAACATGCGAGAGTTCTTGCGGAGATAGAAGGGGAAAACGTGTGCTATGACACAAACAAAGGACAAACTTTTTTTTTAACTAAAGTAAAATTTCTTGAAATAAATGAACAAAAAAGACAAATCAGGCTAGCCTACAATACTTTGAGAAATTAATTTTTGACTCATAATAGCTTTCTTTAAGTACGTAAGAACGCAGGAAATTATCCAATCCTTTTTAGTATGCAAGCAATTTTTCAATTTTCGCACCCCAGCAAGTTGGCGCCCTGCCTCTACCAAACCCCTTCTCTTCCTCATAATAAATTCCGGAAAGTTAAATAATATTGCAAAGAGTTGGGTTATTCTTGCCCGATCCCGTATTTTCGTTTGTAATCTACTTCGTATGGTACATTACTTGGCTTTCTCAAGAGTAAAAATCTACTCTAATATTTTTGTAACCATCAAGGAAAGCGAAAAGCTATCTGTCAAGGAACTTCAAATGTTGCTTTTAAGGGAGTGTGATTTGTTCGAAGAACAATCTCTAAAATACTGTTTCATTTTTGTTTAATATTGCGTAAGTACGAAGTTACACTTATACATTTTTTAAATAAATAAACACGTTTCATTAACTTTCCTTTTTAATGAAAAGGATAAAGAAATGGATAGGGAAAGGGTGGGGATTAACATGCGAGATTTCTCTCATGGGTACGCTAGTTGTTGTTATTATTATTATTATTATTATTATTATTATTATTATTAAATATTAGCAGTAGTGCTTTTGAAGTATCTCTGAATTTGAAACTACTGGGGGCGGATGAAGATGAAGAAAATTCCGAAGGCCCCACATTCCCTGAATCAGTATTGTCTTCTGTAAAGTTTACTTCAGCTAGAATCTTCTACAGGAATATTAGTGAATTAACTTCAAAGAAATTATTATTATGCACGTGAGAAACTATTCTAAATAGATCATTTTATTGCGCATTATGTAATCTGAAAAAATCTAGAAGGAGAATGTATAATAAGGCACTTGTAGGTCTCATGTATGCGTGCTCTAGGAAATCCTCCCTCCCTTGGATGGACCTCTATTAATAAGTGACGGGATATTTTGTTACAGAAATTCAAAATTATTTTTACGACAGCGATCCTGTTTCAAAGGAAAAGAAGAAAGGCTCATTATTTAAAGAAACTATTCCGTTTTATCTGCCAAAGTTTGAAGAACTTGTCAAAAATAATGGTGGCTATTTTGTGAATGGAAAGGTAAGTTATCTTAAACTTATTGCTGTAGTATAACTTACGGACCGTTTAAGAACTAGTGTCATGTCACTAAAACACTTAGTGTCAGGGACACCCAAAATTGAGGCCAAATATTGAGAAACGTTTGTGGCACGAATACACATTTTTTCTGTGTACTATATATGAGAAAGTTAAATGCAATTACAGAAAAATTGTCTTGTCTTGCTTTAGGTGTCGATATTGAAATGATTTCCTTTCAAATAAAGTATTTTGTTTCAGTTGACGTGGGCCGATGTGTATTTTGTTGGCTATCTTGATTATCTAAACTTCATGGCCGGCGTAAACCTTCTGGAAAAATACCCTACTCTGCGAAGTTTATGTACTACTGTGCTCGAGCTACCTGGAATCAAGGAATGGGTTGCAAAACGCCCTGTTACTCCGAATTAAATTTGAGCAGTATTCATTATTCATGTTCTTCATTACAGCATTGATGCAGTTTTCTCTTCTCTCCAGTTATTCTCTCCTGCTTTACCAACAGTTGTGTTTGTTGTCAAAACAAAATTAAGTACTGTATTTCTTATTTCAGATATTCTAATTAATAACAATAAACACCTATGTCAAATAAATTAAAAATGTAAGATTAGTTAAATTGATTGTGAAAACTTTAAAGAAGCTTCACACAATTTTGTGTAAGGATGTGTTTTCGGAGTACATTTTCTATGAAACATGTAAGAGTTGAATGTTGGTAATAAAATGTTTCAATAATATTCGTGTAATTATTACTGACATGAACTGTTCTGAAACGTCGGGTTATAAGTGAGATGTGGCAAGCAAGGAGAAGCACATGCCATGGGCTAAACAGTACTGTCCAGGATGTAATTATTTTGCATTTGTTGCATAGTTGGCAAAAAAAGTCATAAAATTTTTTAAATTATTGTAATATAAGTTTTTGCACGCAAAAGACACAACAAACACATATCTTTAACAAAAGACACGGCAACAATCTGCTGCAATAATAAAATGCACCTTTATTTGGAGAAGCCTTTCATATTACCTTGTTCCTTTTGATTTAATTACCAAACCTCAAAATCTACACCAATATTTATATAAATTGCACACTCTCTTTTGTTTATTCACGTCCGTCATATTTCTTATTAAACACACTTTCTTAGATCTGGCTCAAGTTGAATAAAATGTCTTTTTCGTCTGTTTTTCATTTGCCTACACCGTAAAACCACTTGCGGAATTAATATTTAATATGAATGGAATTCATATTATCATTTAGAATCAAAATAATTGTTTTTGACGAATCCTTATGGATCGTCACATTATGAAAGTATGTTACACTGCTTTTCTGCTTTACTACTATTTGTAACTTAGTGCATTTAAGCTTTAGTTAAGTTACATAATCACAATTTACAAATCACTTAACACGTAACAAAGGGGGAGTTGAGGCAGCATTACGATGTATTACAGAGGGGTCAAAAGTGTTAGTTTAGTATTAAGTAACGCTGATTTTCTTCAAAAAATTTCTGAAATAATTATTTTCATTCAGTTTTACACTAAAACATTAACCCATTAAAACCACCAAACAATTAACCCATTAATTTTTTAAAAAAATACATGAATTAAAATAGTATAATATAATGTTACAATAAATAGAACATTTCTTTCATCAGTGGTATATTGATTGAAATTTAGATTGCGAAGAGAATGTTCAAAACTTGATACATAAATGCAATCGATGGGGAGCCATAAAGAGGTCCTCGTTGCAAAAGGTTAAGATGGAGATTTTATTTTTCATTTTGTTTATATGGTTATTAGTCAGAAAATACTTCGTTTTTCACTTGGAAATATTTTAGGAAAAATGTTGGTATCAAAAAAATCATGAACTTTTTAGTTTTTCATTTTATTTTTTATTAAAATTTTATGTTTGGTTTTAGTGCAAAAATGGTTATTAACAATTTTGTACAAAATGTAACTCTCTCATTCTCGCGTAAGTGTTGTCATGGGGTTCTCTCCACAAAAGTTTACGTAATTATTAAAGGCAATTGAAAGTAGGAAGTCTTTTGGAGATGTACAACGATGAAACAGTGGTATATTTACCACAAAATACGGTTTTGTCTTTTTGGAGTAGAGACAACCATGTTCCACGTGAGCGTTAAGCAATGAAATTAACAACAACAACAACAACAACAACAACAATAATAATAATAATAATAATAATAATAATAATAATAATAATAATAATAATAATAATAATAAAGAAAAAACCAATGACACACATCCAGGGAATTACCGACCAATCACATGTCTTAATGCATTATACAAGATCATGACAGGCTGTCTACATACGATCATCGAACAACATTGCATACAAAATAACATCTCGAAGACCCAAAAATGCTGTTGCAAGAGCTCTTTGGGAAGTAGAGAACAGTTAGTAATATACAGTGTTATCATGTCTCAGGCATGTGGGAAAAAAGCGTAACCTATATACATGTTTTATTGATTACAGAAAAGCATTCGAAATGGTCCCTCACGATTGGCTTATTAAAGTCCTAAGAATATATAGTATAAACCCTGTGGTTGTAGAATTCCTCAAGACTGTGATGAACCACTGGTGCACGAAAATACACATGCATTCCAGGAACGAGAGAGTAGTCACGAAGAGTTTGAAGATAAAGCGAGGAATATTTCAAGGAGATAGCCTCAGTTCGTTTTGGTTCTGTCTGGCCATAAACTCACTGTCATATCTATTGGACAACACAAGAGTGGGATTTGAACTGAAAGGACAAGAGAAGTGTGTGATCACCCATTTGGCATACATGGATGACATTAAACTATACTCTGGCACATTACAGGAACTGAAGAAGCTAATATATATCACTGAAAGATTCTCTAGTTGTATAGATATGCAGTTTGGCATAGAAAAATGTAAAATACAAAGTATTCAGAGGGGAAGCTCACAGACAGCACAGAGCACGAAACTGCATCAAGAGAGATAATCACAGCATTGGGAATGGATGAGTTTTATAGGGGATAGTTTCTGGGGATTCAACAAAATAAAATTATCATACACAGTCAGATAAAAGAGGAGTTAAAACAGAGTTTACCAATAGATTCAATACCATACTCAAGACCTCCCCCAACTCTCGTAACCTTACAATAGCAATTAATGCATATGCTATACCTGTGTTTACTTACTCATTAGGCATTATGGAATGGATCAGAACCGATTTGGACTCTCTGGAGAGGACTATTAGGGTCCAAATGACTCGTTTCAAATGTCACCATCCGAAAAGTTCTATTCAAAGAATAAAACTACCAAGGAAACTAGGAGGTAGGGGAATTTTAAAGATTGGTAATCTCCATGCAAAACTGCTGACGAACATGAGAGAGTATTTCAATGAGAAAGCATTGTCATCTCAGCTACACAGAGTAATACAGCAAGTAGACGAGAACTGTACACCAGACCAGGAGTTAGAACAATGGAAACAAAAAGCACTTCATGGTAGATATCCTACAGAAATAGCCAAATCAAATGTCGACGTCTGCTTATCGTACAAATGGCTTAAAATAGGGTACCTGTATCCCGAGACTGAAGGATTTTTTATCGCAATCCAGGATCAGGTAATTGCGACACGAAATTTCCTCAAACCCGTTATTATAGACCCCGAAGTGCTTTCTGATATCCGCAGGGCTTGTGGTGTTGGCCAAGAAACGATCCAGCACATCACTACGGGTTGCAGTATGCTGGCCCCAACGGATTATAAACAGAGGCACGATGTTGTGGCACGAATCATCCACGCCAAACGCACGAAAATGTGGAATTCCTGGTGAATTTGATACACCTTACTACAAATACCATCCACAAAGTGTCATCGAAAACGACATCTATAAGATACACAGGGACCGAAGTGTATTGACAGACAGAACAGTCCCTCATGAGAGGCCGGATGTAATACTGTGGGATAAATCTAAAAGGAAAGTATGGCTGATAGACAGCAGTTGTAGATACCAACAACATCGACACAACATACAAAAAGAAAATTCAAAAGTACAGAGAACTAACACAAGTTGTAAAGGAGCAGTGGCATGTATTGGACGTGGAGATTGTACCGATTGTCCTCTCAGCAAAAGTGTGATGCCTATCGCTCTCAAGCACTCTCTGAATAAATTGGGGATCGAGGCGAACATAATTATCATTCTGCGGAAAGCTGTGATCCATAGCACGTATTCTTTAGTTAGAAGATTTATGGGTCCCTAAATAAATATTTATGTTAAGAATTGTTTTACTGTTTAATGTATAAATTAATTTAAGTGTTCATACTTGTAGAATTGTTTGCCCTTTAATTAGCTCTTAAAATTAATTCGCTTGTAAAACTATTGTATTATGGAGATCATGCTTTGATAGAAATACCTGTGTGACTCCTGAAACATGTACCAGAAAGCTGTGAAAATAAACAATAATAATAATAATAATAATAATAAGAAGAAGAAGAAGAAGAAGAAGAAGAAGAAGAAGAAAACGAATGTAATTTCATTCTACTGATGAAATGCTTTTGATGAATACAGTAAGTATTAAAAACATTATATAACATAAACATAGTATTTAATAGCTTTTTATTTATAATGACTTTAGGAATCCCAAATTACTACATTAGAGAGACCACTAGTAATTTGGACGACTCCAGAATAAAAAGGGAAAATTTAAAGAAATTTTAAAACTTCGTAGTTCTGATAATTTTTTCTTGAAAAAAATATGCAACCAATTTGTAGAGAATTGAATTAATTTTAAAATGGTACTTAACTATTGTGCATTAATATCTAACACAAAAAAGTTATTATGCAAGAAAAAAATACCGAAAATTTCGTCACGAGTTAACAAGAGGCGAAAATGATGATTTAGGAAGTTTTTTAACTTTGTCGTGCTTAAGAAGAGTTATGAATTGCTGCGCGAAAACATTGCGAATTTTTCAAATTCAGACGCTGACAGAAATTGACCAAATCGAGACGCTGGCGGCAGCGTAAAAACGCTAGGGGAAGGTGACCCCGAAAAGAAACCCACGATGGAAGGTCCCTCAGGATCAACCATTACGGTGCACGGGATCGGAGCCCCAATACAGGCAGCCGGGGGTGGGCAAGCAGGCCCCCGGAGGTCGTCAACCAGCGACTGCAATTTTAGAGACGTGGACCGTTTGGTGTCTCTGGAATACTATACTGCGACACACGAAAGCAAAGAGCAAGCAGGCTGTAACCCCTTTTCTGGGAGGTCGAACCCCAACCACACCAAGGATACCTACCGACCAGCGGGAGCGAAATCCAAGCACGACTGCGGAACGAGATGGCACTACGAGGGAGACACTAGGACCTGGGGCAGGAAAAGGACTCGCAGAAGAAATAACTTCAACGAGTGTTTTGATGATTAAATGGAATACTATACA